AGGTGATCCTCCCACCTCAGCCTCTCAAATAGCTGGTACCACAGGCACACACGCACCACCACACCCAGCTAATTTTTTGTATTTTTTGTAGAGATGTGGTTTCACCATATTGCCCACACTGGTCTCGAGCTCTTAGGCTTAAGCAATCTGCCTGGCTCTGCCTACCGAAGTGCTGGGTTTACACGCGTGAGCCACCACGCCCCGCCACGTTGTGGTTTTATTTATGCATTTATTTTATTCTTTTTCTCACCATTATACTAACAAGGATATGCATTTTAAGTGATTGATGATGCCGGGCTGGGAGTGTTAGGCATAAGAGAATTACTTTGAGATAAAAAAGAGACAGGTGATAAGAATACCATACGGGCTGGGTGCAGTAGCTCATACCTGTGATCCCAGCACTTTGGGAGGCTGAGGCGGGCAGATCACCTGAGGTTAGGAGTTCGGGGCCAGCCTGGCCAATGTGTTGAAACCTCGTCTCTATTGAAAATACAAAAAGTAGGCCGGGCGCTGTGGCTCATGCCTGTAATCTCAGCACTTTGGGAGGCCGAGGCAGGCGGATCATGAGGTCAGGAGATTGAGACCATCCTGGCTAACACGGTAAAACCCCGTCTCTACTAAAAATACAAAAAATTAGCTGGGTGTGGTGGCGGGCGCTTGTAGTCCCAGCTACTCAAGAGGCTGAGAAAGGAGAATGGTGTGAACCCGGGAGGTGGAGCTTGCAGCGGGCTGAGATCGGGCTACTGCACTCCAGCCTGGGCGACAGAGCGAGACTCTGTCTCAGAAAAAAAAAAAAAAAAAAACCTCACCGGATGGGGTTGCTGAAACATACACACTTCTCCTTGGCCTGTCATTGTTGACTTTTCTTCCCCCTGAAATTTTGCTCCTCCTCAGTCATCTTCTGATGATTTTTTTAAAGATGATAATGGAAGTTTAGTTCATATTTATTCTCCATTAGATTCTTTATCTGATCATCCTGGCTTGACATGAGTTCCTCCTCTCTGAACTCCTGTAGGACTTAATTTATGTTACTTTGATGAAATGTCATCTACTGCCTTGGCCTATTATTTATCTATATATCATAAATTTCCTCTTCCTTGATGTCAGTTTTTCTTGCAAAGTAACTGAAAGGTGGCATGTTCATGTATTTTTAACACTGAACCCTTTTGTTTGGAATATGTTAAACAAGTCAGGAAATTCTATTACTGAGGATTTAAAGTATGTAGCGGTGGTTCTCAGACTCTTTAGTCTCAGGATTCCCTTAAAGTTTAAAAATTATTGAGTGTTCCCAAATAACTTTCATCTTTGTGAGTATTGTCTGTTGATATTTAATGTTTTAAAAATCACTGAGTACAAAAAAAATGATAAAAAATGTTCTTGGCTGGGTGCGGTGGCTCAACGCCTATAATCCCAGCACTTTGGGAGGCCGAAGTGGGGGGATCGCTTGAGCTCAGGAGTTTGAGACCAGCCTGGGCAACATGGTGAAACCCCATCTCTACCAAAAATACAAAAAAGTTAGCCAGGCGTGGTCGCACACTCCTCTGGTACCCCCTACTTGGGAGGCTGAGGTGGGAAGATTGCCTGAGCCTGGGAGGCAGAGGTTGCAGTGAGCCGAGATCATGCCACTGCACTCCAGCCTGGGGGACGAAGTGAGACTCTGTCTAAAAAAAAAAGTTCAGCCTGGGTAACATAGTGAGACTACATCTCTTCAGAAAATTAAAAAATTAGCCAAGCATGGTGGCACATCCCTGTAGTCCCAGCTACTAGGGAGGCTGACAGCAGGATTGCCTGAGCCTAGGAGGTTGAGGCTGCACTGAGCTGTGATCATGGCAGTACACTTCAGCACGGATGACAGAGTGAGACCCTGTCTCAAAAATCACAGTAACCCACAAGCACAGATACTGTTAACTGGGAGAATAATCGTGGTCACCTCATCATGTTATGTAACCTCTAGAAAACTGCTGGACGCTCATAAGAGAACGAGAGTGAACAAGGCAAATAATGTCTTAGAATTATTGTGAAAATAGTTCTAAACTCGTGGACCCCCTGAAAGGGTCTTGGGGACCCTTGAGGGTCCTTGGACTACACTTTGAGAACTGCTGGTATATAGATAAGAGTTTTTGTGTGACTTTTATATTCTTTTGGTAACAACGTAAGGATGGAAACATTAAAAAGTCTATTTTCAAAATGCACTCAACGGTTTTCTTTAAAAAACAGCTAATTTCTAGCCTTTGATAATATTAATGGCAGAAACCACAATTTTGCATCAACCGAAATAGATGTTTATCTTGGAAGGGCAGCTGTTAGTCTATTTGGAGTATCTGCTAGGTGCCATGCTACTTACATTTGCCATCCCAGGAAAGGTCACCAAACTGAGAACAGCAACATTTTTGTAGAAGAAAAATACGTAACTGCTCTTTAAGTTCTAAAACAGATGATAACTGGAAAACTTCTTCATGGTGCACGTTTCAGAGTTTCTCACTGTCTCATTGTCAAGTTTAGTTATGATCCTATTTAAAATATCCTATTACGGGCTTGCTTTGGCAGCACATATACTAAAATTGGAACGATAAAGAGAAGATTAGGATGACACACAAATTTATGAAGTGTTCCATAAAAAAATCTTTTTAACATCCAATTTTTACAAAAGTAACCATATTGATGTCATCTGTACTGCATGAACCGTTCTACATTAGGACGTGAATGAGTGAGTGGCAGTACCACACGCTCCACGCTGTGGAATTTTCACACTTCCTGAGGAGTCTTCCTGAACCTCATGTGCCACAGACATCTGACTCAGGGACTTAGGAGGCCAGTGTCCATGAAATTAAATACCAGAGAAGTTTATAAATAGGAGTTGTAGTATTTTTCTTCCAATACCCTGCTGAATCACGTTGAGTGCCCTTCAAGGTGTGCATCCCCTCTGAGGGCAAATGACCTGGGCTGTTATAATGGCCTCTTCTTGCTCTGTGCTTAGCCTTCTCCAGCCTGTTCTCCATATTGCTACACAAGCAGCCTTTCTAAAACAGATTTATGTCATTTCTCTATGTATGTGATTCCCCATTGCCAATGGGATAAATTTCAGGCTCCTTAGCATGGCTTATAATCCCTCTCCTGCCCTTCTGCTTCAGCTTCCCAGAGTCAGTTTAATTCAGGCAACACCTCTGAAGCTTTTCCTGAGCCTCCCAGACAGTTATTAATTGCCATAATCTCATAACATCTGTTCCTTGTTTATACCATAACTGCATGCATCACTCTGGTCCTTGAGGGCAGGCACCACTCCCTGTGTGCCCACTGCTTTACTCAGGTGTGTAATAATGGCTTTTGCTGGGACTGTTAAGATGGCATAGCTGCTGGCGTAGTTCTATTTACTTTGCAATAGTCCAGCATAGTTTTTCTAAAATATGTCTTTCCTTTCTAAAAAAATATATGAGGAGATAAACAATATGGAACTACTGCATAGGCCTAAAACATGTAAAGTTTCAGAAATAATAGCAAGGAAAGGTAACGTTTATGTTTTCTTTTTCTTTTTCTTTTTTTTTTTTTTTTTTGAGATGGGGCCTTGCTCTATTGCTTAGGCTGGAGTGCAGGGATGCAATTATGGCTACTGCAGCCTTGATCTCCTGGGCTCAAGTCTTAGCCTCCTGAGTAGCTGGGATTACAGGTGCACACCACATGCCCTGGTAATTTTTTTTTTCTTTTGTATTTTTTTGTAGAGATAGGGTTTTGCCGTGTTGCCCAGGCTGGTCTCAAACTCCTGAACTCAAATAATACACCCATTTTAGCCTCCCAAAGTGTTGGGATTACAGGCGTCAGCCACCGTGCCCGGCCTATATTTTCTGATGATGTATTTTACACATAAAAGAACAGAACAAATAATTATATCATCATTAAATCTTTTTTTTTTTTTTTTTTTTTTTTAAATGAGACGGAGTTTCCTTCTTGTTGCCCAGGCTGGAGTGCAATGGCACGACCTTGGCTTACTGCAACCTCCACCTCCCGGGTTCAAGCGATTCTCCTGCCTCAGCTTCCCGAGTAGCTGGGGTTACAGGCATGTGCCACCACGCCCGATTAATTTTTGTATTTTTAGTAGAGACGGGGTTTCTCCATGTTGGCTGAAACTCCAGGCTGGTCTTGGACTCTGCACCTCGGGTGATCCACCCACCTTGGCCTCCCAAAGTGTTGGGATTAGAGGCATGAGCCACCGTGCCTGGCCCTATCGTTAAATTTTTTCTTTTTTTTGAGACGGAGTCTCGCTCTGTCGCCCAGGCTGGAGTGTAGTGGCGCAGTCTCGGCTAACTGCAGGCTCCCCGCCGCCGGGTTCACGCCATTCTCCTGCCTCAGCCTCCCTAGTAGCTGGGAGTACAGGCGCCCACCACCACACCTGGCTAATTTTTTGCATTTTTAGTAGAGATGGAGTTTCACCATGTCAGCCAGGATGGTCTCCTTCTCCCGAACTCGTGATCCGCCCACCTCGGCCTCCCGAAGTGCTGGGATTACAGGCGTGAGCCACCGTGTCCAGCTATCATTAAATCCTAATATGCCATCTTGCTTGAGTTTTTTTTTTATTTTTTAAAGAAAGAGGACATTACATTTTTACTGAAAGGCTTCCTAATGTGTTTTTCCCTTATCCTTCCTTCAATAGGAAAAAGCCACTGTTTGAGTTAAAGGTTTTTAAAGTTCCCATACATGTTTTTATCCTTCTGCTACAACTTTTTTTTTTTTTTTTTTTTTTTTAGGATGGCATCTCACTCATCACCCAGGCTGGAGTGCATTGGTGCAGTCTTGGTTCACTGCAACCTCTGCCTTGAACACCTAGGCTGGAGTGCAATGGGGTGATCTTGGCTCACTGCAACCTCCACCTCCCAGATTCACATGATTCTCCTGCCTCAGCCTCCCAAGTAGCTGGGATTACAGGGGCCCACCACCACGCCTCGTTAATTTTTGTATTTTTAGTAGAGACAGTGTTTCACCATGTTGTCCAGGCTGGTCTCCAACCCCTGACATCAGGTGATCTGCTTGCCTCGGCCTCCCAAAGTGTTGGGATTACAGGCATAAGCCACCACACCAGGCCTCTTACCTACTTCTAAAGGGAGTATCTGGCCAGTGACAAAGTATTTTTCAGCTTTACTCTTCTGTTCTCTATTTTTAAAACCGTTGTAGATCATCTGATTTCTACTCAGGAAGTCACTGACTACTCATCTTGCAGGAGTCTGGATCCAATTAAAAGATAAATCACATGGTAACTTGACTAGATAAGGTTTAATATAAGGACTACTCAACTATTACAGAGAATTGGAGTAATGCAAGATTGGCTAATAAGAAGTAAAGAAATAAGCACATAGAAAGATAGTTAGCATCATCAGCTTTCAGGGGAGTGCAGATCAAAACTACCATGAGATGCTACCTCACACTCTATGGTGGCTGGAATCAAAACAGCAGATAAGAATAAGCAGTGGTTTGGGGCCAGGCATGGTGGCTTATGTTTGTAATCCTAGCACTTTGGAAGGAGGCTGAGATGGACAGATTGCCTGAGCTCGGGAATTCGAGACCAGCCTGGGCAACATGGTGAAACCCCGTCTCTACTAAAATACAAAAATCAGCCGGATGTGGTGGCAGGTGTCTGTAATCCTAGCTACACGGGAGGCTGAGGCCCGAGAACTGCTTGAACCTGGGAGGCTGAGGTTGCAGTGACCCGAGACCATGCCATTGCCCTCCAGCCTGGGCAACAAAGAGTGAGACTCTGTCT